AACAGCAAGCAAGTAAAAAGTATACATTAACAGACAAACTAACAAACAAGAAAACAAGCAAATATACAAGCAAAAAATCAAATAAACAAACAAGCAAACAAACAAACAGCAAGCATGTAGACGGACAAACAGACAGACAAACAAAGCAACCAACAGACATACAGACAACCAGTGAGCATTTGGCGATGTGCTGCAGCCCAGCTCCGGCTTACCGGGTGTCCGGGAAGGCCTGCGATGCCGGCCGGGCCCATGGAGCCCGGCACGCCCTGACTTCCCGGTCGTCCGAGGTCGCCTTTGATGCCCTGCGGACCCACGGGCCCCACGCTGCCCTCTTCGCCCTGTTCCCCCCGCGGCCCCGAGGCGCCCGGTTCCCCTTTCTCCCCCTTGAAGCCGCTCTGGCCCTGCTCGCCCGAGTTTCCGGTCTTGCCGGGCCCACCCTCGGCGCCCTGCGGTCCCGGCGGCCCGTGACCGCCCTGTTCTCCCATCGATCCTTTGGTACCGACCTCTCCGCGGGCACCCGCTGTACCGGGGATGCCCTGGCGGGGCAAGGGGCGGCAAAAGAAGGGGTCGGTTGGGAAGAGAAAGCAAGTCAGGCAAAAGCAACATTCTTTTTAGTCTATAAACAGGCTGTCATGACTACCAGACGATGGTATGCATGAGATGTGGTCACCCCATTTCGTCTAACATGACCAACGGATCGGCTGTTCAAGCCCAAGGGCCAAACGGTGAACTTGCAGAACCAGAGTCCGAGTCGCGCCGGGGCTGCTGATGAGATCAGTTGAGACGAGATCCTGTCTGGTCGGGGTGGGAATGGCGTTTGGGAGGAAAGGCTGTGTGAAGTTGAGGGTTCACGCAAACGATTGGGGGAAAATGCAGCTACCAATAAACTCTTTCTTGTGGTACGAACGACCCGAAATGCACATCTCCACTTCCACTGTCCTTAAGACCACCTCAAGGTTGAGTAGCTCCAGGTCTGCAACTCTCAGTGAGCCCAGCTCGATTACTTACTATCCACAATAAGTAGTCCATTTGGTCCAGGTTACTGATGCTGATTTAGGAAATGATGGTTGACCTATTCTCACAAACTTACTCAGCTGAATTCACCAACCAGCCTTTTTCATCCCTCCTCGATTGAACCTGACGGGACTCAAACCCGGCTGGTTCAACGGTTCACAAAATAGACGCGATCTTTTGAAACAGTCCGTCACACACGAGAATGCCTTCATCGCATGTATGGTGAAAAAATAACTTGAGATTAATTTGTTCTTCATCCGCACATATACATTATATCTCTTTAACACACACATACACACACACATGCAAGTATATATACATACATATACACATCTCAGGCCGTCATGGCCACAGTCGACCCACCAAACCTCGTCCTTCTGTTCCCGGCATCGGCCTGTGGGCTGGTTTTTTTGAGACTTTTTGTCGCCACTTGAGGTACTACTAACTAAATATTCAGTAGTATTTCGAGTACAAAGACAAAAACATCCCACAAAAAGGTAATTTATGAGATAATTTATTAATGCCTTCTGTTGTCGACTGTGACTAGTCGGCTTTAATGCCAGGACAAGCGGGTGTCCTCGTGATGGAGCCCTTACAGCTCTTCAATCTACGGATCGCCGTTTCACTTTGCGTCTATTTCTTGTACACAAGCAAGCAAAAACACACATGCATACACACAAACATTACTTCTCATCTTGTCGTAGCATGGCAGCCAAAGTGTAGACCTTTTTATTTAAACATCCAAAGTTGAATATTGTTTTTATATTTGCTTTGGTTGTTTCATCATTTGCTGCTAAAATAGGCCTGATTTGGAGTGAATAATATCTCTACTTTGTCCACCGGTTTTCCATTTTATGATCAAATTTGTATTCTCTAAGTGTGGCATTATTGCGATGCGAATTGTGATAATGTTACTTATATTGGTTTACTCAGTAATCCTTGCTTATAAATTGTACAAGTGATGCTGACAACTATGATTCCTACACATGCCCGCAATACGGCGCAGTAAAAATACATTCCCTGCCAACCCAATAATGCATGGACCATTTCGCCTTGGAACTTGGCTTCCGCTCACCTGTTGACCCGTGGGACCCCTGGGCCCGGGAAGACCCTGCTTCCCTTCGACTCCCTTGGGGCCTGGCTGGCCCGGCTCACCGATCAGACCCGGCGATCCAGTGATCCCGGGGGATCCGGTTGCTCCGGGCTGGCCAACTGGACCGCTCGGCCCCAGTTCACCCTGACCGGGGGTGGAAAGGTAAACGGAATGGCAAAGGTTGCATCCGGTTGAAATAAGGAGCACTCAACAAAAATTAACCCACACCAGCTACTCATTAGATGGTCAGTAGTATATCAAGTTTGCTCGAGAAGACACGACTAGAAAATGAGCTTAACTGTTAAAATGTGCCTCACACAATAGGACTGACCATTTGTGGCATTTCATCAAATGCATTCAATTCATTTAATTGTTACATTTCACTTTTGAAGCCCAATTTTTTCATTGAGCTGATGATAACAATGCTGATTGTGCTACCATTGAGATTCTGTCACCTTGGCAACTCATCCTGAAGACGGACAAGACACTGCAACCTCTCTCCTCTGCTTCGACGGAGCTCCGATTGGCAACTGGTGCTAACGACGGCTCCAGCAAGCTCCCTGGCAATATTTATTGGTTGCTGACCAAAGTCGGTATTGGGTGCGGCTGCCTTGGGCCTTCCATAATATCTTGCTTTAGTGGATTTGGCGTATTTTTCGAAATTATGCTTTTTGGTTTTGACGATTTCTGTCCTGACGGGACAAGGTCATCTCAATCTCTGGCAGTCCTCTTTCGGTTTGCGAGGAAATTGATTCGCTGATTTTTATCAAGCACAACTAAATGAAAATTCATTTTTGCCTGACAAATAATTTCACATAAAACTCCTGTTGCATATTGAAAGCAAACTTAAATTCAACCGAAATGAAATAAAAATTCTCATCATATATAATCATAAAGTAAGCACATTTCATTAATTAAAACCGAAGAAATCCTCATGACAAATTATCTAAAATTAAAGTTTATTCCATAAGGTAAAAATCTTGGCCAAATAAAATCACAATTAGGTTAAAACTCATCTTATCTTGTCAAATGATCGTAAATTAAAAGTAATCTCATAAATTAAATCTCAAATTATGACTTATAATGGTAAATTAAATGCAAATTAAGACTCTGCTAAATGTAAAACGCACAATAAATAAGTGTATGTTAAAACTAATTTAATAAATTCCAAGTGATTTCATAAAATAAACCTCCCAATGGTAATCGTGAATAAAAAATAATTTTCTAAATCGAAACTCACAATAGATATTACCACTTTAAAACTCATTTCATAAATTGAAAGCAAATTAAAACTTAAGTCTCAACAAGTCATCATTTCGGTCCGAGCCGAACTCACCGACTCGCCACGATCGCCCTTTGGTCCCATCGGACCAAGCGGTCCTTGATCGCCCTTCTCCCCGTCATTGCCCATCGGGCCTCTGGAGCCCTGCTTTCCCACCAGACCGCGGACGCCCTTCTCCCCTCGGGCCCCGATGCCGCCGGGCTGGCCCCTTGCGCCCTTCGACCTTGAACCCCAAAGAAGAGGAAGACAAAAGGGGAAGACGTCAACCACGAGCCGCCCGATTGGTGCAGTACAGAGTAGGGAAAAGTGAAGTGGTACTCACCCTTTCTCGCCCTCTTGTCCCGGCGGTCCCAGCTGACCCAAAGTGCCGCGCTTGCCCGCCGGACCCTGAGCCCCCGTCAAGCCTCTCTCGCCCTTGTCGCCACGGCTGCCCATGGCGCCCGGACGACCGGGGTCCCCCTTGGGACCGTCCGGACCCAGCGGACCGCGCAGGCCTCGACCACCACGAGGACCCACAGAGCCGGGCGGCCCTCCCAGACCGGCCGGTCCCGTGTCACCTTTCAGACCCTATTTGGCGCATGTTGTATGTGTGTATGTGTGCGTGTGTGTTTGCATTTATGGGCATGTGTGAAAATAGACATGAGCTCAAGATTCGAAAGGATCTCTCCACCGTAAAGGATGCAAACTTGACGGCGAACCTACAAGTTGAATAGTAATGCATGATTAGGGCCTATTTTGATGCTAAATACGAATGATTCTGGCTTTTGTGTCACATGCAGCACTCAAAAGTAAGGCTATTTTTCGATGTAGTGGTGGCAAAGAGGGTATGGCGCTTGTACGATCACAAGTCCCGCAGGTCGACTATGGAAAACGCGTCCATGACCATGGAATCTGTTTTAGAATGCGAAAAGGTAAAAGCTGCACTTTTGTGCTACGATGGCATTTGTGATGAGTGTCCTTCGAACAAGCAAAGAATAAACTACAACTTGGAGTAGACATGAAAAACAAGATGTTGTGACCTCTATTTTGGTAGCAGTCTCCTTTTGATGTATAAAAATGGTTCGACATTACTTTTTCAGCATGATCGCGTTGTCAGGGCGACTTAGCTGGATACAACTTGTTAGAAGTCCTCTTCCATAATACTTATCATAATTGCAAACTGCGATAGAAGGTAGGAGGATGTATGTGGACGGGAGGTGGAGTTATAATACAACCGTTTCAGAAGAAAGTTTATCAAGGGATTGACTACATTTGCCCATTTGACGAGTTGCAGTTTAGTGCCAAGAACGGTAAAACTCATCGACGATGCCAGCGGAACATCAGGAAGTAAACAAAATTGGTAGTTCAACGTTGAGAAGTATCAACATTTGTAGAAGAGGCCTATGGAAAGGGACCTAAAAGCAGGGTAAAATTTCAAAAACAAGGTCGTATCAAATTTTAATTTGGCGAATATAAAGAATGTGAAAATATCTAATTTCTATCTAATAAAATAGAAAAAGGCGTTCTTTAAAATTGGAGAAAAGGGTAATAAGAAGAAAGAGAAAAACAAGGAGGATAGAGAAAAAGAGAATAAAAAGTAAGATAATTAGGTGGGGGATATAAAAAGGATGAGAAGTAGAAGGAGAGGTAGGATGAGGAGAATAAAAGAGAAGAGAAGAAAGATAAGTAGGATGAGAGAGGAAAGGGGGAATAAAGAGAATATGGAAGAAGGGTGAAAATGGGAAGTAGGTGGGAGAGGTTAAAAAGAGGAAGGAGTCGAAAAAGAAAGTGATAAAATCAGAATAAAAGGATAAGAAAAATAGAGATAAAAAGAGGTTTAAAAAGAAGTGAGAGATGTAAAGGAGGAGGATAGTATGGAGATGCAGGAGAAAGGAGAAGAATGTAGGGATGAAGAATATAAGGAGGAAGTAAAAGAAGTAGGAGGGAAAGAGGGACAAGAAAAGAACAAGAAAGCGAGTAAAGAAGAGGTATAAGAAGAAGAAAGAGATGGAGAAAGCAAATGATATGTAGGAGGAAGTTAAAGAATGTGAAGATGAAGATGAAAAAGTACGAGAAGAAAAAAAGGAGAAAAAGAGGTGTAGAGAAATCGAGTTAAGAAGAGGTAAAAAAGAAGGAAGGTATGGAGAAAGCAAATTAGATACAAAAAGAAGTAGAAGAATGTGAGGAGGAAGAAAAAGTAGAAGAAAAAGATGGAAAAGAATAGGTGAAGGCGAAAGAAAGTTAATAAGAGGTATAAAAGAAGTAAGAGAATGAGAAAAAAATAAGATAAAGAAGGAAGTAGAAAAATATGAGGATGAAGAAGTGGAAGAAAGAAAATGGAAAAAGAATAGGTGGAGGAGAAAGCTATGTAAGAACAGGTATAAAAGAAGTAAAAGATGAAGAAAGAAAAGAAGATGTAAAATGAAGTATAATAATGTAAGGATAAGGGAGAATAAGTGGAGGACGAAAAAGAGGAAAAAATATGTGGAAGAGAAAGGGGGTTAGTAAGAAGAAAGAAGAAGGGAGAAGGAAGAAGGAAGGAAGGAAGGAAGGAAGGAAGGAAGGAAGAAGGAAGATATGGAATATGAAAAGA